TCGTCCTCCCATTGTCGTCCATCATCATCCTCTCCCTCCTCCCCCTCCTCGTCCTCCTCGTCCCCCTCCTCCCCCTCCTCGTCCTCCTGCTCCTCCTCCTTTGATTTGTCCACCGTCTCCTTACATCCTCTCTTCTTCCGCGTTCTCCTCGTCCCCTGTTTACTCCTCATGCCTCCCCCTCTTTTCCCAAGAGAACTGCAACGCAATCTTTTGTTCCACTTTATGCTCCCCGCCTTCTCTGATCAAGGCAACTCGCCAGTGCAAAGTTGCTGGACGGGCTGGTGTGGATGCGCGGGGGTTGAAGAGGTCCTTGCGGGCTCAGACGGCATGAAAAAATCCGCCGCCGCGCTTGTGCGGCAGTGGTTTGTTCAGTGAACGTGGTTTAGGTCGCGGGTGGGTCGCGGGCTCTCCACCTCCACCTGGAAGGAATGCAAAAGCAGCCCGCCGCAGGCGCCAACAAAAATTGGTTTGTACACTGAACGTGGTTTGGGTCGCGGGTGGGCCGCGGGTTCTCCACCGGGAACGAATGCAAAAGATGCCCGCCGCAGGCGCCGAAAAAATTGGTTTGTACCCTGAACGTGGTCGCGGGTGGGCCGCGGGCTCTCCACCTGAAACGAATGCAAAAGATGCCCGCCGCAGGCGCCGAAAAATGTAGTTTGTACCCTGAACGTGGTTTGGGTCGCGGGTTGGTCGCGAGTTGGTCACGGGGTGGGTCACGGGCTCTCCACCTGGAAGGAATGTAAAAAAGGCCTGCCGTAGGCGCCAAAAATGGTGGTTTGCACCTTGAACGTGGTTTGGGTCGAAGGGGGGTCGCGGGTGGGTCGCGGGGTAGGTCGCGGGTGGGTCGCGGGTGGGTCGCAGGTGGGTCGCGGGTGGGTCGCGGGGTGGGTCGCGGGCGGGTCGCGGGGTGGGTCGCGGGGTGGGTCGCGGGGTGGGTCGCGGGGTGGGTCGCGGGGTGGGTCGCGGGGTGGGTCGCGGGTGGGCAGCGGGTGGGTCGCGGGTGGGTCGCGGGGTGGGTCGCGGGCTTGGTCTCGGGTGGGTCGCGGGGCGGGTTGCGGGTGGAACGACGACAACAAACAACAACAACAACACCACCAACAACAACAACAACAACACCAACAACAACAACAACAACAACAACAACAGCAACAACAACAGCAACAGCAACAACAACAATAACAATAACATCAACAAGAACAACAACAGCAACAACAACAACAAGAGCAACAGCAACAGCAACAGCAACAACAACAATAACAATAACAACAACAACAACAACACCACCAACAACAACAACAACAACAATAACAACAACAATCAAAGGCAGCAGCGTGGAATAGGGATTCCCCGCTGCAATGTCCCAGCGGAGAACCGCGGGCCACGCGGGGGCTCGTCGTCGTGCCCTCCGCCAGTGGCTCCTCCTTTTTCTCCTTGTCGTCCCCCGCCCCCGGCCCCCCCCCAGCCCATCCCCCTGCTGTTGCTCAGTCTTCCTCCTCGCCCTCGTCGTCGTCGTCGTCCTGGTCGTCGTCGTCGTCCCCCTCCTCCTCGGCATCCATTTCCACCCCCTCATTGTCCTCCTCCTCCTCCTCCTCCTCCTCCTCCTCCTCTTCGGCATCCGTCTCCTCCTCCTCATTGTCCTCCTCCCCCTCCTCACCATCCTCCTCCTCCTCCCCCTCCACTTCCTTCCTCCTCGCCATCCTCGTCCTCGCACTCGCCCTAACCCTCGACCCCCTTGAAACCCTGCGGGTGCGCCCTCCCGCGGGCGCTTTGAAATTTGTCGCCCGGTTGCGGTTGCGGTTGCGCACTCCCGCGGGCGGGTTGAAATGTGTCGCCCGGTTGCGGTTGCGGTTGCGGTTGCGTACTCCCGCGGGCGGGGTGAAATGTGTCGCCCGGTTGCGGTTGCGGTTGCGCCCGCGGGCGCTTTGAAATGTGTCGCCCGGTTGCGGTTGCGGTTGCGGTTGCGCCCTCCCGCGGGCGGATTGAAATGTGTCGCCCGGTCGCAGTTGCGGTTGCTCCCGCGGGCGCTTTGAAATGTGTCGCCCGGTTGCGGTTGCGGTTGCGGTTGCGCGCTCCCGCGGGCGCTTTGAAATGTGTCGCCGGGTTGCGGTTGCGGTTGCCGCGCCCGCGGGCGCTTTGAAATGTTTTTCGCCCGGTTCTTGCGTGGTTGCTGGGTTGCGGTTGCGCGCCCGCGGGCGGGTTGAAATGTGTCGCCCAGGTGCGGTTGCGGTTGCGCGCCCGCGGGCGGGTTGAAATGTGTCGCCCAGTAGCGGTTGCGGTTGCGGTTGCGCGGCTCCCGCGGGCGCTTTGAATGTGTCGCCTGGGTTGCGGTTGCGGTTTCGCGCTCCCGCGGGCGCTTTGAAATGCGTCGCCCGGTTGCGGTTGTTGGGTTGCATGCGGTTGCGCGCCCGCGGGCGCTTTGAAATGTGTCGCCTGGTTGCGGTTGCGGTTGCGCGCTCCCGCGGGCGCTTTGAAATGTGTCGCCCGGTTGCGGTTGCGGTTGCGAGCCCGCGGGCGCTTTGAAATGTGTCGCCCGGTTGCGGTTGCGGTTGCGAGCCCGCGGGCGCTTTGAAATGTGTCGCCCGGTTGCGGTCGCGGTTGCGGTTGCGCCCGCAGGCGCTTTGAAATGTGTCGCCCGGTTGCGGTTGCGGTTGCGGTTGCGCGCTCCCGCGGGCGCTTTGAAATGTGTCGCCGGGTTGCGGTTGCGGTTGCGCGCCCGCGGGCGCTTTGAAATGTGTCGCCCGGTTGCGGTTGCGGTTGCGGTTGCGCGCTCCCGCGGTCGCTTTGAAATGTGTCGCCGGGTTGCGGTTGCGGTTGCGCGCCCGCGGGCGGTTTGAAATGTGTCGCCCGATTGCGGTTGCGGCTGCGGTTGCGCGCTCCCGCGGGCGCTTTGAAATGTGTCGCCCGGTTGCGGTTGCGGTTGCGGTTGCGCGCTCCGGGGGCCGGGGCGCTTTGAAATGTGTTCGCCTGGTGGGTTGCGTTGCGCGCCCGCGGGCGCTTTTGAAATGTGTCGCCTCCTCGGTTCGCTGGTTGCGGTTTGCGGTTTGCGCGCTCCCGCGGGCGCTTTTAAATGTGCTCGCCATTTGCGGTTTGCGGTTGCGCGCTCCCGCGGCGCTTCCGAAATGTTGTCGCCCGGGGTTTGCGGTTATTGCGGCTTGCGGCTTGCGCGCTCCCGCGGGCGTTTGAAATGCCCCGTCGCCCAGTTGCGGTTCGTTGGGTTGCGCGATTTGCGCGCCCCGAGGGCGCTTTGAGATGTGCGCCCGGTTGCGGTTGCAGTTGCGTTGCGCGCTCCCGCGGGCGCTTTGAAATGTGTCGCCCGGTTGCGGTTGCGGTTGCGCGCTCCTGCGGACGCTTTGACATGTGTCGCCCGGTTGCGCTTGCGGTTGCGGTTGCGCGCTCCCGCGGGCGCTTTGAAATGTGTCGCCCGGTCGCGGTTGCGGTTGCGCCGCCAGGTTGCGCTCCCGCGGGTTGTTTGAAATGTGTCTCCCGAGCTGTCCTCTGACGTTCAGTCAGTCATCAGTCAGCCGGCGGGCACGGAATTTCACCCGGCTCCGCCGGGAACAACAACAACAACAACAACAACAACAATCATTTTACCCGAACGCGTGGTGTTCTCCCCAGTGCCAGGGTTTTCATACGACACCAGACAATACCCCCACTTCGTGGGGGGGCATTACAAGCTCTACCAAATATCCAAACGACTCTTCGCGACCACCCAAACCCAGCTTCCCGCCCTATGACGTTGGGACACTTCACTTCGTGGCGTGCGGACGACCGTGGCTACTACACTGGCGTGGGGTACACACCCACAGAACTTGGTCACTTATTCGGGGCGCGCATGTGCCCAGCATGGTGCAATTGTGCCATACCATACATAATACAGAGAGACAGAGAGAGAGACAGAGAGCAGACAGAGAGAGAGACAGAGAGAGCGGAGTTGGTCACATTTTTGGGTCAAGTTCCTGGGATGATGGGAATACACAACTCTGTTACATTTGATAGTGTGCACGACACACATGAGATGATACGTACACAGCGCGCGCGGGTGGAAATTTTGAAAAGTCGTGCAGCTGTTTTTCGAGGACCTACGGTGCGATTCGTGTGATTTTATGATGCGCGGTGGTAAAATTCTTAAGAACCCAATGGTTTTTGGAGATTTCGGCGTGCGCGCGCGAAGAAAAAAACGAATGTGTCCCGCATGGTATTATTTGACAGGGATGATGGCCCTGGCAGGTGCGCAACCGTTGTCGCAGAAGTTCGAAAAAGTTGCTCGCAAAAGCCCGTTTGACAGAAATGTTGAAAAAGTGTTGGGTTTCCTACGAATCCGCAAGAGCGCGCGGGATGAGATTTTGACATTTTTTTGTTGAAAAACCATTGGTTTTTTGATGTTTTTATGTTAAAATCGCTCCGAACACTAAGCTTTTGGAAGGATTTCGTCTTGCGCGCGCGAATGTCCACTTTACCTTATTTTTTGCAAAGGATTCTTGAAATTTGATTATATTAGAACAAGAAATGTCATTTTATAGTGTTTTTTGCAAGGGAAAGCGGGGGGGAACAAAACAACCGGATCCGGACATAATCCACTTTTCTGAAGCTTTCGCGAAAAAATGATGAAAATGTAGCTGCGGCCTAGGTTTTGGAGGGGGGTCGCGCACCAGGGGCCCCAACAATAATTATTCTTTAGAAGTAATAATGTTCAACAGCAACAACAACAACAACAGCAACAACAAAAACAACAACAACGAGAATCCGCACCGCGGAATTCCACTTCAGCCACGCACCCAGGGACAGTGAATGACCGTTCGGCCCCCTCACTCTGATGATGAGGAAGGAGGAGGAGGCGGAGGAGGAGGAGGAGGAGAAGGCGCCACCCGCCTCTGCCCGCGGGCACGCGGTGGCGCAAGTGGTACGTGGCGCGGAGCCTGACTTCGCGTGGGATCGGGTCCAGGAGGAGGAGGAGGAGGAGGAGGAGGAGGAGGAGGAGGTCCACTTCCCCCGTAGAGGTGCCTCGGGAGCCGCTGCGCCGCAGTCCGCAACAGCAGGCCAAGGAGCGGTTGTCGCGCCTGGCGTCAGGGCCTCAGCGGTGCGCGACCGTCAGGAAGGAGCGGGAGGAGGAGAGACAAGGCGGGGGGAGGAGCTGGAGGCGGGAGGAGGAGGAGGAAGAGGAGGAGGAGGAGGAGGAGAAGGAGGAGGAGGAGAGAGGCAGCGAGCAGGCAGGCAGGGCCAGGAGCGTAGAGCAGGATCGGGACAGTGAGGACAAGGACGAGGATGAGGAGGAGGACGAGGAGGAGGAGGAGGAGGAAGGGGAGGAGGAGGAGGAGGAGGAGGAGGAGGCGGGAACACATGAGGCGAGGAGTATGTACGAGGAGGAGGAGGAAGAAGAGGAGGAGGAGGAGGAGGGGGAGGAGGATGGCTGTTGCGGTGATGGCCCATGCCCCCAGGCGATCCGCACGAGTCAGCTGCTGCTCTCACGGTGTCACAGGTGTCGTCGGCAGCGCAGGCGAGATTATTAGGGTCCCTCTGTTGCGGCGGAGGGCGAGTCGGCTCTCTGCCTGATGCTGCTGGTACACAATGTTTGTGCATATTGCCTTGACACCTCGTGCTCCGCGAAGGTGGCGGGCGCCGCCAAGCCAGACGAGTGGAACGAGATGTTGCGGTACTTGCGACTGCTCATGGCGGTGCAGGTAAGCGGTGCACAACCGCTGCCGCTGCTGTTGTTCTTGCATCCCCTCCATGTATCAATCCTCATTTTGCTCATATTTGTCCTCCTGCTCCTGAATATCGTTCTCCTCCTTGCTCTCTTCCATCAAATTTTCCTCCTCATCATATTTCTCCTCGTGCTCCTCCTCCCCCTTCTCCTCCTCTTCTCCTCTTCCTCCTCCTCCTCCTCCTCCTCTTTCTACTCCTCCTCCTGCTTCTCCTCTTTCCCCCCCCCTTGCCATCTTCCCTCTGCTCCTCCCCGTCCGTCTCCTCCGCACGGTCGGGAGCTGTGCCTGTTGCGTGGGAAGACTTGTGCAGTGGGCTGCAGAGAGTTACCGTGTTTGTTCTCTAGGCGCGGCTGCATCTATGCGTGCACGGTGTAACGAATCGCGCCGAGAAGTCCTAACCGTGGATTTGCTAGTTCCTCGTCATCCTCTTCCCCTCTTGTTTCTTAGCAACATATGCCAAGACATGTTACATCCTCGTAAGCGATGTTCCAGATCTCGCAGGTGTGGATGGTAAGATAGCTTGCATTAGGTGGCAAGGCAATGTGTTGCAATTCAGGACTGCCGCCCCCTGCCTTCTGGAAACGCCCGTGTGGTGGAATGCGATGCCCGGTCAGGCAGGAGCTTACGAATACGGTCTGGTGCGACCGCTCTAACGACCTTCCAAGCCTGCTGGACCCCTGGATGAGTCCAGGTCGGCATTTTGCCCGTCGTTCGTGCACGTGGCCACTGCGACATTTCCTCAGTCCTTGAGCTCGCTCGGACTTCTTCGCTCTCGGACCCCCTGCAGGGCTTGCACTGACTTCGATGCGCTTCGGAGTACCTCGGCCACAGCTTTCCTGGTCAGATCAGGTGTACAGTCAGCCCGCATAGTGAACATGAGCGACTTTCCAAGGCTACCCTTGCATCCTTGCCCCTTCGGCCCATTCTTAGCGACTTTCGCTGGCCAACCTCGTTTACAAAAACGCTAACATGGCTTCCGAAGGCCCTTGAACCCTTCCCGCGCATCCTTCCTACACAGGTTGGCTGTATCCCCCTCTGCACGACTTCCTTCCTGGTGGAGCCCGAGGCCGCCACTACTGCACATAAAGGGCTCCGTGCTCTGATTGCGCCTCCCCTCCTCGCCGCCCTCCGCGGTTGCCCTTCTCTTCCCGCCGCACCGGTGCGCAATTGGCTAGCCCGCGGCAGATGGGCCAATTCGACCGCGCTGTGCCCCACATCGCTGCGGCAAACAGGAAGCTCGAGCACGTGCTCGTGGACTGCGTGCCCCCCCAGCTCTTCGCAGTGGGGACGCGCATCGAGAGACCAGGTGCTCTCCGCCAGGGCACCCTGGGCTTCTTCGCCCCGTGCCCCTGCCGCCTGCTCCTCTCCCACCGCCGACACTTCAGCTCAAGGCCTGCCCGAGAGGAGCCGTGAATCGGGGGCCCCACTGCCTCTCGCCGCCCAGGAGGCCGAGAACCCGGCCCTCTGTTAGGGGGGCGGGTCCCACGGCCAGGGCGCGCGGGTCATGGCCGCTATGGCGCCCATCGGGGAGGAGCTCTGGGGGGGGGGACGAGTGGAAGGGGGGAGGAGGGGAGGAGGAGGAGGAGGAGAGGAGGGGAAGGGGGATAAGGACGAGGACGAGGACGAGGAGAAAGGAGAGGACCAGTGTAAACCCAAGAACCATCAACGATGTTGGAATAAAAACTCCCTCAAAGCTCCCTCTTCATAGGCCCTTACAGGGTTCATTTCCACTAAGGGAACTGCATCGTTGGAAAAGACAACCGTTTGAAGAGCCTGGCGCTGACTGCTGCGTCTTGACGATCCTGAATCGTGCCAGAACGCCATGCCTGGGACTTCAACACCGCGGATCAACGTAACTGTTGCGCCCTCATAGCCCTGAATCCTTCCAAAGAACCATTTCTGGCACGCTGATCATTGAAACTCTTTGAAAACATGTGCGCGGCGCTAAGGTGAGAGCCACGCTTTGAAAACGAACCGCCCTCAATCCGTGAAGCTCTTGCAATTGTTTAAAACGAATGCGTGCGGCGCTAAGGCGAGAGCCACATTTGAAAACCAGCCGTCCTCAATCCGTGAAGTTTTCGCAAATGTTTAAAATGAGTGCGCTCGGCGCTAAGGCGAGAGCCACATTTTGAAAACAGTCGCCCTCAATCCTTGAAACTCTTGCAATTTGCTGAAACGAATGTGCGCGGCGCTAGGGCGAGAGCCACATTTTGAACACCACCCACCCTCCATCTGTGAAGCTGTTGTCAACGTTAAAGCTTCAGGGTCATCATTGGTGAGGAAGTCTCAGGCGAAACGCCCGGACCGCCCTAAGAATGTGCCTCGGGGTGCGACAGGGAGAATTTGTGCATAAGGACAAGGAATGGAGGAGGAGGAAGAGGAGGAGGAGGAGGACCAGTGCAAAGCAAAGGCTCATCAAAGATATTGGAATATGCCAACCTTTCCTGCTAGTTCTTTTTCTCTTCGGCACCGACAAGGTTCATTTTCACAGATGTAATTGCCCCGTTGGAAGACAACCGCTTTGAAAGTTTGAATTGTGACAGAACACCGTCCGTGGGATTTCAACGCCGCGAATCACTGTTATTGTTGCGTCTTGACGATCCTGAAGCGTGCCGGAACACCATTCCTGGCACTTCAGCACCGTGAATCAACGTAACTGGTGCGCCCTGAGAGTCCGACATGGTGCAAAACACCGCTTCTGAGACAGTAACCATGACAATCCCTCAAACTGGTGTAAGCTCTTCAAACGAATGTGCGCGGTGCGAAGGCGAGAGCCACATGTTGGAAAGGAGCTGGCATCCATCTATGAAGCTCTCGTCTGTTATATTGATGTGCATACACAAAACTATCAATACTGATACTAATAAGCGAATGTGCGAGGCGCCAATGCGAGAGCTACAGTTTGAAAGCGGACCGCCTTTCACTGCGCGCGGCGCTCAGGCGAGAGCCACATTTTGAAAGCGGCCTATCCTCCATCCGCGCAGCTGTTGCAACTCGTAAGACGATTGTACGCAGCGCAGCGGACAGCCCTCCATCCGTGAAACTGTTGCAAACTCTCAGCTTACAGAGGTTCTAAACGGTGAGGAAATCTCAGGCGAAACGCCCAGCCCGTCCTACCGACACGCTTCGGGGGTGCGATCGGGAAGGGTTATTTATACATAAAATCAACGGAGGAGGAGGAGGAGGACGACGCGGACGACGAGGACGAGGACGAAGACGAGGAGGAGGAAGAGGAGGAGGAGGAGGCGGAGGAGGAGGAGGAAGACGAGGAGGGGGATGGGAGGAAGAGGAGGGGCGATGGGGATCTCTCTTGTTCCCCCTCCTCCCCCACGGCTGCTGTTGCTGGTTTCCTTGTCCTGTTAATCCCCTTGCCGCTCTGGCCGCGTCTGAGTCTGCTGCTTCTGGTACTTCTGCCGCTCGTTGTCGTCCTCCTCGTCCTTGACCTTGACCTTGTCTTTGTCGTCACTTTTGTTGTTATCTTCATCCTTTTCCTTTTTTTCTTCTGCTTTCTCCCCTTGCGACTGCTCATGCTGTTGCTGTTCCTCCCCCGCCGATGTGGTGAGGGCTGGGTTGATCAACGGGCCCACCGCCGACCTCTGTCAGCGCCGACCCCTCAAAAGAGTCGCCTTGACAGAGTTCAGCAGCAGACGCCGAGATGGAAGATAGAGGAGGGAGGGGGGAGGAGGAGGAGGAGGAGGAGGAGGAGGAGGAGGAGGAGGAGGAGGAGGAGGAACACGAGGAGGAGGGGGACGAGGAGGAGGACGAGGAGGAGGAGGAGGAGGAGTAGGAGGAGGAGAAAGGAGGGCGACGAGGAGGACCAGTGTAAACCCAGGACGTATCAACGATGTTGCAGTAAACCCTACTTCCAAGTTTCTCTTCACAGATCGCTACAATAATTTGTTTTCCTTGTGGGAAGATCTCTATGTGAGGACAAACGTCTGTCAACCCTCAATCATGACAAAACGCAGTTCCTGGGACTCCAGCCAGCGCCGCGAATCGACGTGACTGCTGCGTCCTAAGAATTTGAATGTTTGCCAGAACGCCCATTCCTGAGACGTCACCAGCGAATCAACGTGACTGATTGCGCCCTGACAATCTGGAATCGTCCCAGAATCGTGTTCGTGGAGCGTCAAAGGTACGGGTCCTTAAAGCTGCTGCAAACTTGAAGATTGACGTGCGCGGCGCTACAGCAAGAGCTACAGTCTGAAAAGGACCTGCCTTCCATACGTGAAGCTGCGGCAAGAATTTAAAACTAATGTGCGCGGCGCTACAAGCAAGAGCCACATTTTGAAAGCGGTCCGCCCTCCATCCGCGGAGCTGCTGCGAACTGTTAACACGAATGTGCGCCGCGTTGATGCGCGGGCCACACTTTGAAAAGGGCCCGCCCTCCGTCCGCAAGGCTGTTGCATACGTTTCAGACGAAGCAGCGCGGCGCCAAGGCGACAGACGCATTTTAAAAAGGACCCGCATGCCATCCGTGAATCCTGCTGCAAAGCTTCAGCTTCAGTGTCGCAGCTGGCGAGGAGATCTCCAGCGAAACGCCCAGTCCGCCCTACAAACACGTTTGGGGGTTCGACAGGGAGGAATTGTTTACAAGGGAGAAATTGAGGAGGAGGAAACGGAGGAGCAGGAGGAAGAGGAGGAGGGCGTTCGGGTTCCGCTGCTTCTTCGCCTTGTGCTCCTTCTCTTGGTTGTTCCATTTCCCTGTCGCTTTCCTCCGCTTTCTGGCTTCTCCTCCCCTGTCCCTGCTCCTCTTCGGCTTCGCCCCGCTCCTGGCTTCGCCCCTTTCCCTCCCTCCCTCCCTGCGTTCGTCCCCCCATTTGCCCTTGGGCCGGGCGTCCCCGCGGCCTCTCCTGGCGCCATTCCTCCGGGCTCGCGTCCCTTTGGACGCTCCTTTTCACGCTTCAGGCGTGGCCCTTCGCTCTTGTCCGCCTCGGCGGCCTTGCTCGGACCTGTGTGCGCCTACGGCGCGATCCGCGGAGGCAAAAGAGGAGGCGGAGATGGAGGAGGAGGAGGAGGAGGAGGAGGAGGAGGAGGAGGAGGAAAAGGAGGAGGGTGAGGCCAGGATCTTCTCGAGGCGATTCTGTATGGGCGCGCCGACAGGAGCCCGGTGTCGCCAAGCTGGCGGAGCAGGGGCTGGCGCAGGTCGCGGACTACGAGGAGGGATGCACAAGAGGAGGAGGAGGAGGAGGAGGAGGAGGAGGGAAAAGAGGAGGAGAAAGGGGGTCGACGACGAGAATGAGGAGGAGGAGGAAGAGGAGGAGGAAGAGGAGGAGGAGGAGATGGAGGAGGACCAGTGCACGCCCAAGATGCATCAACGATATTGCAAGCAACCCTCCCTCCAAGTTCCCTCTTCATAGGCCCATAGCTACAATGACACATTTTCATTGAGTGAAGTGCCCCATTAAAAGACAACCGTTTGGAAATTTTGAAACGCACCAGAGCACCATTCCTGGGACTTCAACGCCGCGCATCACCGTCACTGTTGCGTCTTGACGATCCTGAATCGTATCAAACGCCACTCTTGGGACTGAACACCGCGAATTAACGTAAGTTCCGCGCCCTGGCAATCCGACATCGTGCACAACCCCCCCTTCTGGTACTTTAACTTGAGAGTCCTCGAAGCTGCTGTAAACACTGTAAGCAAGTTTGCACGGCGCTACGGCGAGAGCCACATTTTGAAAAGAAGCCGTTGTCCATCCGTGAAACCTTTGCAAATTTCTTAGACGAAAGGGCGCGGCGCTAAGGCGATAGCTACATTTTGAAAACGGCCCGTTCTCCATTCGTGAATATCTTGCAAGATTTCAGCTTAGCGCTCCTCAGTGGTAGGGAATGGTAGAGAAGTCTCATGCGGAACGCCCGGCCCGCCCTACCGACACGCCTCGGGCTGCGACAGGGAAGAGTTGCTTATAAGGAAAAGGGATGGAGGAGGAGGTGGAGGAGGAGGAGGAGGAGGAGGAGGAGGATGGGGGAGGAGGTGGAGGAGGGGTTGAACGAGAGGGAGGATGAGGAGATGAGGGTGAGGGGAGGACGAGGAGGGGGGGAGAAGGAGGAGGAGGAGGCGGAGATGGAAGAGGAGGAGGAGGAGGAGAATCAGGAGGGATGTCCTGGGGGTCAAGGGGGTTCTTGGAGGCTCCAGGTGGAGTTTGGCTGTGGGGGGGAGAGAAGGGGGCACGGTGTCTTGAAGGAGCCCGACCTGACGATGATGATGATGATGATGATCATCATCATCATCATGATGATGATGCTGATGATGATGATCATCATCATCATGATGATGAGGATGAGGACGAGGATGAGGATGATGATGATTGTGGTGGTGATGATGCTGATGATGCTGATGATGATGATGCTGATGATGATGACGATGATGACGATGCTGCTGCTGCTGCTGATGCTGATGATGATGATGATGATGGTGGTGGTGGTGGTGATGGTGATGATGATGATGATGAGGAGGAGGAGGAGGAGGAGGAGGAGATGGAGATGGAGATGGAGATGGAGGAGGAGGAGGAGATGGAGGTGGAGATGTAGGTGGAGATGGAGATGGAGATGGAGATGGAGATGGAGGTGAAGGAGGAGGAGGAGGAGGAGGAGGAGGAGGAGCCGCAAGAGGAGCATTCGATCCGAATCCCCGACGGGGCAGCGTCAGCAGGAGCGCAGGGAGGGGGGGAATGGCTGAAGGGAGGAGGAGGAGGAGGAGAAGGAGGAGGAGGAGGAGGAGGGCTGAAGCCATCCCCAGACACACTCCCTGAGCCGCCCGCGCTGCCAGCGCGGCAGGGGAGCCAGAGTGGTAAGTTGTGCTCCCGCCCCAGATCCTGACCTGCGGAGGTCTCCGCGGAGGTCCCTGCGGAGGTCCCTGCGGAGGTCTCCAGAGGCCCGGCGAGGGCCAGGAACGTCCGAGGACTTTACCCCCCTCGGCCCTTGGCAGGGTCGAGGGCAGAACCTGGCAGGCCAGGTGGGCCAGAACCCTGGGCGGCTGGGCCGCGAAGACCATCGCGCTTCGCGCGTTGCGGTCCAGGCCAGAGCAGCTGCCCCTCCCTAGTGGGGGCGGCGCGGGGGTGCGGGGGCGCGAAGATGACCGCGCATCGCGGGGCGCGATGCGCAAAGTGCGGCTTCGGTCGGAGATCATAGGAGCCTCGTGTGTCCTCGGAATTCCACAGTCGGAGTGCATTATGTGATTCCCGCTCACTCCCCGTGCCCTTCCTGCTCCTTCCCTGCTTCCCCGCTCTATCTCTCACGCCCGCCTTGTCGCCGCCATTTTGTTTCAAACTAGGGCCCTTGGCCTTAGAGCTACGCAGAGAGTTTCGCCGCGCGATTCCTCGACAAACGATATCAGCGATATCCATATCACAGTGGTAGCTTGGAGCGAGGCTCGCTATCCCGGCCCGCGGGGCCGTATACCCAAGACGACGTCCGCGACGTCGCACTCCATATTGGAATCGAGGCCCAGCGGCCTCCTCGCGCTGTTGCTCAGCGCCTACGCCTACGCCAGCGTCAGCGACGCCAGCGCCTACGCCAGCGTCAGCGACGCCAGCATCTACGCCAGCGTCAGCGACGCCAGCACCAACGCCAGCGTCAGCGACGCCAGCGACTACGCCTACTACGCCTACATCCCTGCCAGCTCCAACGCCAGCGTCAGCGACGCCAGCAACCCCATCTTCTTTCCCACCCTCAGCAGCGACGACAGCTACTTCTCCTACGCCTGTGTCAGCGACGCGGCATACTTCCTCTACGACGGTGTCAGCGACGCCACACACTTCCTCTACGACGGTGTCAGCGACGCCACATATTTCTCCTACTACGAAGGTGTCAGCGACGCCACATACTTCTCCTACGACGGTGTCAGCGACGCCACATACTTCTCCTACGACGGTGTCAGCGACGCCACATACTTCTCCTACTACGACGGTGTCAGCGACGCCATATACTTCTTCTACGACGGTGTCAGCGACGCCACATACTTCACCTACGACGGTGTCAAGATGACGGAGTTCACGCACAACCAGTCAGTGATACCAAGCTGGAATGGAGATCCAGCGAAATGGCGAGATTACAAACAGGAGGTAAAATTGTGGAAGCTCAGTGAGAACTTGGAAGTGACACAAAGTTTGGCATCGAAGTTAGTCCTGCGTTTGACGGGTACAGCCAGGTCGGCTGCTCTCAATATGACGGAGCAGGAACTCCACCCGCCGCCGGACGACGGCATCGAGGATGCGAACGAGAAGAAGCGCGATCGCAACCAGAAGGGCATCGAGAACGTGCTAATGCACCTCGAGGCAAACCTAGGCCAGCAGAAGCCGGTGCAGAAGGGAGAGACGCTAGAAAAGTTCTTCGAGTCGACTCAGCACCATCGCCGCCGTGGAGAACGCATGACGGATTGGCTCGTGCGATTCGAGGCGGGACTACAGCAACTACGTGAGAACGAGGTTGACCTCACTACGCTTGACGACGTGGCCGGCTGGTTCCTGCTACGCAAGGCTGGGCTCACGGCCGAGCGCCGTGAGCGCGTCGTGGGCAACTTGCCGGACGAGCACTACTCATTTCAGCGCATCAGGGGCCTGCTGGTGCGCATGTTCCCCGATATCCACACATCTGAACGACGCGCAAGCTTGCCGTCACGATCGTGGCCGCAGCGATCAAACAGTAGTTGGCAGCGCTCACCGCCAAGCCGAGCACGTTCAGCCAACATCGCTGACGAGCCAGAAGACGAGCACGAGGACTCGGAGGACGGCGACGACAATGACACGGAGGCAGACGTCCAGGACATCGTGCGCCAGGAGCTCGAGGCTTTCAGCGCCGAGCTGGAGCAGTCCAATTACGACCTCGGCGAGGTGTTCGATCGGGGCGACTCTGCCAAGGTGGAGGCTGCCGCGGCGGAGCTCGCCGCGATTCCCGAGGCCATGGCGACCATACGGTCGGCCCGGGAGGCTATCAAGGGCCGCGGGAAGGCTTCGCCCAAGCGCCGACCCGCGGGCAAGCTACAAGGCCGCGTGGACCAGCGCAAGAAGAACTCCAAGTGCTGGGACTGCGGCGAGGCGGGGCACTGGACCGGTGACAAGGAGTGCCCGACACCAGGCGCTCGAAAGTTCGCCCCAAATTCCAAGCAAAAGGGCGGAGGACGAGGCGGCGGAGGTCGCTCGCACCGCCAGGCCAACATCACCGAGCAGGTCCACGACCAGAATCACGTGGAGTTCGGTGACGAAGAAGTGATTCTTCATCCAGAAGGTCCGATCACTCCGCCCCCCGAGACTCTGGTCTCCGAGCGCGTGGTGCCAGATTTGCCCACCATAAACACCACCAACGCTGGCGAGAAGCCCAACGACGACGGTGTCGGCGTGATCGACACTGCCTGTCTCTTCTGCGTTGGCGGGCTCAGCTGGTACAAGCAGTACAAGGAGAAGCTCACCAAGATGGGTCTGGCCGACCAGATCCTGGAGGAGCCAGAGAACGAAGTCTACAGGTTCAGGAACGGCGGCGCGCTCCCGAGCAAGCTGCGCGTCGCAGCCCCACTCGTCCTGTATGGACGCGCTGGTCGCATAGTATTCAGCGTCGTGGACAGCCCCACGCTCGGCCTGCTTATCGGCCGGGACTTCATTCAGCCGAGCAAGATCGACATCTCGCTCTGGCGGGAACAGATCCGCATCGGGAACCATTCCCAGAAGCTCATCACGAGCAGCGCAGGACATCCCGCGATCGACCTCCACCCGGAGGACTGGCTCGCCATCAAGGGCGCGGGCCACGAGTTTGGACCGAAGGCTGTCAGTACTAAGGGCATCGCCAAGCGGCCAGCCCCGAAGCCCACGGTCAACCTCACTACGAAGGCGAGCAACTTGCTCGAGCATATCACGAGACTCATTCCCAAGAAGGAGCTCAATGTACCGAGACGACTTCAACAGCGACGCGGCGGCAGCTCAAGGCTCATGGCCGCCGTAAGCTCTGCGTTGGTCTGCTGTTCGGCGGCGGTCGCGCCGCCGACGTTTGCTCCAACAATGATTTCGGCTACTACCTGCATCGCCGAGCCCCTCGACGATTGCGTGGCCTGCGGCGCCAAGTCCTATACAGACTGTTGCCACCTCGGGTTCTGCTCCGAGTGTGTTTTCGGCAACTCGGTCACGCTGGACATCGAGAACGACAGCGACCCG